AGTAATGGAGAGAGAGAGAAGGAGAGAGAGTAATGGATTAATAAATACCCTTTTAGTCTTTTTTAAAAAAAATGCACTTAAGTCTAATTTTTTTTTATAGGTCAAATAAGTTTATTTAATATAGTTTAACTCAAATAAATCTAAATTTTTATACTGGCTTTCAAATTACCCAAAACTCTAGATTGATTTTGGGTCCAAAAATTCAATCCATTAATCTCACGTAATAATATTTTGTAAGAAAAAAAAATATTTTTTATACCTAATTTAGTGATCTTATCTGGTGACATGATGGATCATAGCTGTGGAATTGATAGTGGGTCCCAACTAATAGTAGAATCCACTGTCAGTCTAATGACAGAAAATAATAATGTCGTCAAATAAGCTCCATATAATATTTTCCTTTTTATCATAATCTTAAAAAACTTAATCAAACATATATTCCGTGAGTAATGTCTAATTCATAGAAAAATAATTTTATAAGAGTATTAATGACAAGACAACATAATCCGCCAACTAAACTTTGAATTTGAAAGTTTGGAAATTTTTTATTTATTTTGAAAATTAAGTCAATTAGTTATACTATCAATATTAAAAAAAATATATATATGTTAGAAAAACTTCAATACAAATACTAAACAATTAATATGCATCTAGAAAAAAAAATTAAAAAATTTACACTATTATTAAAAAATAAGCATCCAAAACACGCATACCCAACGCACATAAACACAACACAGGCGTGCGGCAGACAAAAAGGGGGAGATCCGCCTCTAGGATTTTTTTTATTGATTTTGTGCATTGTTTCATAAATGGATTTCTGTTTGGACTTATTCAATCATAAAGTTGTGTTTTTTTTTTTCCTATTTATCAGATATGTAGTTTTGTTTGGGTTAATTCCCTTAAGGACATTTTGTGATTATGGAAGACTAGTTTGATAAAAGGTTGCCTATTTGAACTTCTTTAGAATTAAGGTTTGATGAGTACTTAGTTTTATAGGCATAATTTTGTTATTGGGAATATTGTTCTCGAGGATTAATAACATTTTTAATCTTTAAAGTATGTATTTTTTTTTCAGTTTAGTCCTCATTGAATCAATTTTATCAATTTGGTCACTAAAATATTAAATTTATGTCACTTTGGTCCATAATCAGACAATCTGTTAAGTTTTTTGATCGAAATGATTAATTGTCATTTTTTTAAGAAATTATTAGTGCCCAACACGTGAGCATTCCATCAAAAACTTAACAATTCGTCTATATAATAATCAAAATGATACAAAATGAATATTTTAGGAATCAATTTAACAAAATTGACACAATAAGGACTAAACTGAAAAAGTTTAAACTTTAGAGACAAAAAATATTATCTATTTTCTTGAATACTTGGTATGTTTGGTTGTGTTTAATTAATTGAAAAATGGGGTGTGGACGTGTGGTTTTATTTCATTTTTCAAAATTTTAATTCCTTCAATATTTCTTCAAGTGTTTTAAGGTCTCAACTATGGTGAAGAATTTACCCAGTTACATAGCCGAGAATTGTTTCATAAATATTCATTGATTATTGGGGTTGGTTTTTCATGATTTGTTTGGCATAGATCATCCTTTTCACTTAATTCCTTTTCAATTCTATTTAACTGAAATATTTGGAATTAAGTAATTGATTGGTGAACTTAGATTGATCTTGGGCTTGAAAGGTAATTAAGGTCATTGATGGTTTAAGCTTGAAGTCATTGTTTCTTTTGCAGTGGGCAATTCTTCGTGTTACTATCAAACTTGCGTGTGACGAAATTGATAATGCAAAATGGGTGTATAAAATAAAACATCCCCTTTATGGCTCTATTGCTAAATATAAAATCAGACTTGTAGCTAAAGGATATCATCAGGAGGTAGGTATTGATTATCTTGAGACTCAGTGGTCAAGCAAGCTACCATTAAAGTTGTTCTAGCTCTTTCAATTCACTATGACTGGAAATTGCAGCCGCTAGATGTAAGAAAACAAAAAAAAAGGCATTTTTACATGGTCTTTTGCAAGAGGAGGTCTATATGTCTCAACCTCCAGGATTTACTGATCCTACTTCTCCTCATATGGTTTGCAAGCTGAATAAATCTCTTTATGGTCCCACGTAGGCCCCTAGGGCCTGGTTTGAGAAGTTCACTTCTGATTCCTCCCTGTTTTTCAAACAATTTGGATCTTCTATTACCATATTACTGCTCTATCTTGATGATGTAATCATCACAGACAATGATCCGTCCTACATTCAATCTTTAATTTCTCATATTGATCAAAAATTTGACATGAAGAACCTTGTTCTTTTTCATTACTTTCTAGGACTTGAAATCAAGTATAGATCCTCTCCAGTGTTTCTCTGCCATGAAAAATATGCCCAAGATATACTTCAGAAAGATCAAATGCATGAATGCAAATCTTGCAAGACACCTTGTGCTTCCTCCACTCGCCTTAGCAAGACTGAAGGATCTCCTTTATCTGATCCCTCAATTAAAAACAACGTGTAGTTGGATCATGACAGTACCTTACCTTTACCAGAGTAGATCTTGCCTTCGCAATAAATCGGGTCTGTCAGTAGTACATGCATGCCCCTACTGATCTCCATTTTCCTGCAGCTAACTGAATCCTTAGATACCTTAAAAGCACTGCATCTCTTGCTCTGCACTATGCTGCTTCCCATCTTCTTCTCATAGCTTATACTGATGTAGACTGGGCAGGGGATCCCCTGGGCAGGAGGTCTACCACTGGATTTACTATTTTCTTATGTAAATAGAAATAGATTACCATTTAGTTAGGGAAAAAGTGGTGAAGAAAGAACTTGAAATTCATTTTGTTTCCTCCACTAATCAGTTGGCTGATATCTTCACCAAAAGCTAGATTCATTCTCTTAAGAGACAAACTCATGGTGGCTTCTCCTCCCATTCATTTGAGGTGGTGTAGTAACACAATGACAAAACATGATCAAGCCAAACAACTCAACAGCAGCACAACAATACCAGCATTGCGCATCACCCCACTCACACAATAAGACTTTGTCATACTTCAACACAGAAGCAGAGCTCACATCAGTAGTGTTAGAGTCTGTTGACTATAAATGAGTGATCTCAGCATGTTATCTAATTAAGCAATTTCAACTTGCGGTAAAAAAACATTATAATAGAAGATTATAATTTAATTAATCACTACAAAACGCTAAGAGAGGAAGAAGTGAAATGTTAAGAGAGAAAACATAGGAGGATAAAGTGATTAAAGGTGAAATTTATATTTAAACCACTAATGCTATTGGGACATAATTTTGGGATATAATTTAGGAACTAAATGCATTATGACTATTGAGTTGATAGTGTTGAGACCTAGTGATAATTTAATGTTTGGACCTATTGACAATCTAATTGCCACAATCATTAAGTCTTCAAATTATGTCTCAATAGAATTGCTCTATTTAAACATGTTGCATGATGAACCAACCTTTTAAAAAATTGTAAGATATATGAATAGAGTTTTAAGAAAATTTAGAACCATCTTTGGTATGAGAAATGAAAAATAATAGAGATAAAAAAATAGAGGTGATAAATTTTTCATTTTCAAAGGAAAGGAAAGATGTTTTTCTTACTTACTTGGTAGGAAGGATAAAAAAATGAGAAGGATCGTTTTATATTATTTATTTATTATGAAAAAAAAAAAATTATAACGAAATATTATATGTTAAATACCAGTAGTACCCATAAGTTAGTTAAAAGTCAAAAGCATGCATGTGGTTCCCGCCGTGCATTGCTTGTTTATTGCCACCCCTTTTTTTTCAATCTATATTCTTTTTCCAACCACACAAAGAAAACATTTCACGAGTAAACAAGATAATTAAAAAGAAAAAAAGTAATGTTGGCGTGATATAATTATTCAATAAAAAAATTACAAATTGGATAAAATGAGACTCATTATTTATTATAGAGGTGGTTATGTATTACATAATTGCGTAATTATAAATTTTTGTAAAGCTTACTTATAAATTTATTTATTTACTAGTGGACGATTATACCACGTAACACTATATATGTAGTATAACGGTTATGCTCAACATTTTTTTCACTTGTTGAAAATGTTTCACAATATTAATTATAAAATACATCAAATCGACACTCAATAGCCCTTAGTCATTCAAAAGCCGATAGAATCATCAACTCTTTGCAAGATGGAAGCTTGTTCATTAAACATTTACTCCATTTTTTGGGGGTTTTGGGTAACAATAACCTTATGTTAGACATTCCTTTTTGGATTGCTGATCTCTGTGTTTTTGTTAGTATCGGCATGACTGTTCATTCCCCTATAGCCATCACTGTCAGATGGCCTTAATTATGCTCCTTCTTCTTCTTCTTGTTTGTGTTGTGCATCTGCTACATTGCAGCTGCTCCCCCTTCTACTTCTGTTGCTTCTTCTTTTTATTGTTCTTCATCCTCTTCCTCCTTTTCTTCATGTTCTTCTTTTTCTACCTCCTCCTCTTCTTTCCATTCTGCATTCAGTACAAGCTCTTTCTTCTTCTTATTCTTCTTCTTCTTCTGCATCTGTTGTTGCTACTTCCCCTTCTACTTCTGCTTCTGTTGCTTCTTCTTTTTCTTGTTCTTCATCCTCTTCCTCTACTTCCTTTTCTTCTTCATTTTCTACCTCCTCGTCTTCTTCCCATTCTGCATTCAATACAAACCATAGAACATATAATCATACAGATTAGAAGGAATTTCCCTAAAGATAACTACATTGTTTGGGTGTTTCTTGACAATAAAGCAGCCTAAATCAACAGAGTTTTGTAGTGATCATTGCCCAAAGGTTTCATTCCTACTCTACGCAAAATTGTATAAATGAAAATTTTGGGCAAAACTAGTAGTTCTCCAGGATCTATCATCTATGGGTCATTTTATGATCATAAAAACCCCATCCAACATTCTTATTTGTGTATTATATTCATAGTTGTTGTAAAGCATGATTGGAGAGGAGATACCCACCTAATAGGAGCGGATAATTCGAATCCCAGCAACACAACAAAGTATCACGGTATTGCTTTATTTCTTTTACCTCTTCATAGTACAAAAGGTGGGCTCCACACTCCTTTATTTGTCCCTCAACCTTCATCTCAAACGAAACCTCCACTTCGTCACCTTCTTCAAGTAGAACCTCAAGCCCAAAATGGCATAACCATATAATATATCCATCTGCTTCTGGAACACCGTAGCACCTTGGTCTATAGGACCACACAAAATGCTCACTCTTGTTATGGACTTTAACCTCTATTGGATCTTGTAACCAATTTACGATGTCGGAAAGTGTGTACACTACGCACACATTTAAGCCTCGTATTTGGTGATTGGAAGGCACATTTAATGTGATTGTGGGCCCATTAGTCTTATACATAAACCAAAATGGAACTTCTCGTCCAGGAAAATATGTGCTAAATAATCCACATTCCCATAGAATCTGTTAAATAAAACTCAAAGTTTAGCCTTTAATCATTAACGAATGAATAAGAAGAGAGACAGAGAGACAGAGAGAACCTCAACTGGACGCTTCACTCTGCTCCACACAATGCAATTTGTAATCATCACTTCAACATCTGCCATGGAGTCCAAGCTGAAGAAGCCAACATTGTTGATCAATCTTACATCAACTTCTCTTACAGGTTTTGTCTTGAAGCCATATTGGACGTAACATAGCCTCATGCAAGCACCATGTTGAATTGTTAGTGGACTGGCCTCAGTATCGTAAGTTATTTGCTGCAAAGATCTGCACTCGGTAACGTTCAATTCCTTAACTTCTATTGCTGGCCATTGAATCTTCTCAAGCTTTGGACACCAAGATAAATCTAGCATTTGGAGTCTTGACAAACTTCCAACGCAATCTGGTAGCCTACGAATATGATTTCCTACAAGAGATAAGGACTCCAACATATTGAGCCTACCAAAATCCATGCCAAAAGCATCATCAGTGAGATTGCAATTCCCAAGGCTTAAGATTACTAAAGAACTTGGCAAAGAGGTCCATAATGTGTTTGGGTTTTTCATTGGTTTTCGTACCCAAGGCCAAATCCCTGTTGGTACAAGATGGTGGGTCACACCGAGTGCTTTATTCATATCAATTCTGTCCGCTCGAAGTACTCTGATTGACTCCATCTTCTTGAGCTCCTCTGCCAACAATATAAGATTTGAGCAATCAGAAATATCCATCTCTTGAAGAGATGTTACCTTACTAATATTTCTGGGAAGTGCCCTCAGACCAATGCAACCTCTAAGACTCAAGAGACGAAGTTTCTGTAGGTTCACAATGGATTCATCAATCCCAACCAAGCTTATACAATGTTTCAGAATCAGCTTCTGTAGATTGGGGGTTATTGCGAAGTCTGGAGTTTTGTTAAGACAATGGGAATGACTGAGGTTTAGAATTTTCAGCTGTCCAAGAACCTATTATAGAACATAAAGAGAGAGAGAGACAAAGAGAGAGAGGTTAAAGGTTGCCTACTCACACAAATAATTAAACACCAAAATCCTTTAAAACGACAAAAGCAAATTAGGTTAAATACCTTAATTGCTCCTTTCCAAAGTTGTTCCAATTTGCTATTGCGCATGTCAAGAGCTACTAAGTTATTTAGAGGAAGGCCACTGGGCAAAAATCTTAAATGAGAACCACGCCAATATAAGAATCTTAAATCTCTCGGAAATAGCCCATCATTTTTAGAGAATTGTACGTAACTGAGCTTGAGTAATCTAAGGTTGAGCATCCTTTCAAATGCACTAACTTCTAAGCCACTCTCACTTGAATTTCTCGAAGCTTTATCTACACGGTGCCAAAATAATTTGAAAAAATTATGACCAGAATCTGTTATAGCAGAATCATCTTCCTTCAACCTCTCCATTTCAAGAATGAGGCCTTCAATTTTTTCTGTGCCCTTATGAAGACAAATACAACAAGAGAAAATGGGATAATTGAGTAACCATATGGACCAAAACTATTGTAGGCACAAGAGAAAGAAGATTCTTACAGTTTTGTCTCTCAAAATTTTGAATGATTCCTCGTGACGCCAGAGTCTACTACGCTCCTGAGGGGGTATAGATTCTTCGTCAACTATTGCTTTTCCCATTCTTTGTAGCAATGGATGCATTGACAACTTACCGTTTTCAATTTTTAAGAGATTTCTTTCAATAAGATTTTGAATCCCAACCACAACAAAACAATCACATCCATCCAGGATTGTCACTGTATCAGTTTTTTTCTTTCCAATGAAGAAAAAAACAATATCGAGGAATAGTTTTCTATCGTGCCGATCTAAGTCGTCATAGCTTATTCTGAGCTTTTCTACAATTTTAGAGTCAGGAATAGCTTCCAATTTCTTTAATTTGCTCTCCCATATCTTCAAACTTGGCTTTCTTAGAGAAGAACCTAAAACTTCAAGAGCTAAAGGAAGCCCATTGCAATGATGTAGAAATCTCTTTGCATGTTCTATGTAACCATCAACAGGATGTTTTTGTCCAAAAGCATGCCAACTGAAAAGTTCAAGTGAGTCAACGTCGCTCAGTGTTTCAATGTCATAAGTGCTATCAATTTCACTTTTCTTTAGCAGGCACTTCTTCTTAGTTGTTATGATAATTTTGCTTCCTTGACAAAACAAATCGCTTTCTTGACCTAATATTTTCTTTATTTGGTCCTCGTTTTCAACATCATCGAGAACAAGAAGAACTCTTTTTCTTGACAAGACAAATTTAAGCCTCCTGTGGCCATCATAAACATCGTCAACTTTTTTCTCTCTTTTATTTTGAAGATTAGAAAGAAGTTGTCTTTGCAAATGAAGTAAACTATTGGGGTTTTCAGAAACTTGTCTAATATTTTCAAGAAAACTGCTTCCATTGAATGTGCCACAATGCCTATTGTATAAAACTTTGGCAACAGTAGTCTTTCCTATCCCTCCCATGCCGCATATCACAAGTTTGCCGACAGGGGCTGAACAACTCTTGAACCACCCATCAATTTTATTGACTCGAGACTCCATTCCAACTAGGTAGGTAGCAACACTTACAGCTTGCCAAGTTGTCTTATCTTTAACCCATTGAACAACTTCCTGGACGAACTTGGCCTCATGCCTAAAAATTCAAGTCAAAGGGAAAAACAGAGCAATATACATATTAAAAAAAATAAATAAACAAAATCACATGCAAATAGCTAAAAGAGTGATGATGTCCTGCCACCATTACACCCAATATTTTGTCAGAAAGAATCTACTTTTCTCTTCTTTTTTTTTTCAAAAAAATGAGTGTTGCAAACTGTGCCCAAAAACCCAAAATGAAATAAAATAATAAACAAACATTTGAAGCTACAAAGAGAAGATCTAGAGTTTTGAGGGCTGAAATGATGGAAAATGAGAGAATACGCGGCTGAAATGCAAAGAAGTAGTGGAGAATATCATTCATGAAGGGAATTTTGCATCTAGGTTTTTGGTTTTATGGGTCGATTGGACCTGTGCTGTAACGGCTGTTACAGATGTGAAATTTTTTTTTCCCGGGTGTAACGGGATCAGAACCAAGGGCGTCGTTAGCTTTATGAAACGGTCGTTACCCACAATAACAGCATAGTTTTGCGGCCAGGGGTGGGGGTGGGGGTGGGGGTGGGGAAGAGGAGAGGAGAGGAAATTACCCATCAGCTTGGTTTTTCAAAACCATCCCTGCTAGATTTACAACCTCCTTAAGTGCCACGCTTGATCTCTTCACGTTGTTCATCTGTTCATCTTGTCCTTTATCGGCAACCAGACCTTCTGCTTGCTTCTTAACTTCAGAGGGATCTACATCGTAAAAGACAGGCAAAATGACATGTTTAGATTTCTTACTATGTTCAAGAATAGTCTCTACTTCATAACAGCACGCCTTGGAAGACACATAGTCTTTTGAGAAGACAATTATAGATATCTTCGACGTTTTGATTGCTTTCTCCAATTCTAAGTTGATATTTTCTCCCCTCTCAATCTCATCGTTATCTCTGAATGTGCGAATTCCATTGTCGGATAAAGCTGTATAAAGATGGTCCGTAAAAGATTTGCGGGTGTCGGTGCCTCTGAAACTCAAAAACACATCATAGGTACACTCAGAAGCTGAAAACAAGGTTTCATGGGAACTAGCCATTCAGAGAAAAGAGAGTGAGTATCGCAGGGAGATGAGAAAGAGAGGAAGCACTAAATTTGGGCAGTCAAGTTCAACATAGTAAGATCCTTTTAATGGGACGAAGGAATCGACCCACTTGTTGATGTCGGTAATAAAAAAATGCGCAACTTGCAAACCGAAGGTACGGACACACAAATATATATATATATATATATATATATATATATATATATAACCGAAGGAATCGGCACACCTTTTGATGTCAGTAGTAAAAAAATGCTCGACTCGCAAGCCAGGCTTCCCGGTATGCTCCACCAGCCCAGAAAAAAAAATAAAAAAATATATATATATATATATTTTTCTTTATTGAGTGCCTGTAAAAAATTTATTTTCTTTATTCGGTTTTACGTTGCTCTCATAACCAAGAGAAGACCTAGCAAAACAAGGATTTTATTGGAGATAGCAAAATACAAATAAAGAATTTTTGCCTGTTGACATAAAACATGAAAAATATGATAACCTTTTCAAGCTAAATTAATATATAAAAAATAAAATCAGTATCAATCTTAAAAACAAAACACGATGATTTCAAATTCAAAAGATTATATGTAATTTATTTTATGTTTAATTTCTTTTATTTATTAGGTTCTTTTCAATTCGTAAAATAAAAGAAACGGTGATATTGTCTGACCACTTCATGAATTTTTGAACCTGTATCAGCTACAACCAAGCTTTGTGTAAGTTTTGGGTTTTGGAAGTATCAAACAAAAAAACAAAGTTATGGGTTTTGGGTTTTCAATTTTGTTGGTTGTCCATATAATATTATACAAATTTGTGCATTCCATTAATTTTTCATCAATTTTAGAGGTGGCAAATGGGTGGGTTAGGTTAAAATAAATCCAATCAATTTTTCATTCATGTATTAAATGTGTTATAATGAGTTTGGATTTATAACGAGTTGGGTTAAATTTATTAACACATTAAATAATTAAAATTCTTAATAGACACACATTAATACTCCAAAACACATACACA